TTAAGTTTATTTACAGAAAATTTGGAATATATTTTTACTAATTATTTTACTATTCATTTCGTAAAGACAAATAACCCGATCAACTGCTTTAATTAAGTTACAATTTAACGACAACGGATTCTCGTAATGGAATGTGTAAGAAATGTTGGAAATACTGGATTATTGCTTTAGAGTAAGAGATATCTTTTCCGAATGTCACACACATTTCGAGAATCTTAATATGCAATATTTAAAGTACTCAGGATATACAGGGTATTGATAACGAATTCACATCACAACAATTTGCAAGTTGACTTTTTTGTGGCCGGTGTGTGTGTGTGTGGGTGTCTCCCTGAGAGTGGGTGTTTCAGTGGGGGAGCACACTTCTTTTTATGCCCTGTAACCATTAAAAATGGATAAGCAGGGGGTCCCAAACAAAGGCAGCTTACACACAGCCTGTTTCACCTTTTAAGTCAGCAATTCGGTATATATGTTTTGTATGTTCTTGAGTGTGTCAAAATGCAAGTAAGTATGAAGTGGATACAGAGAATCTGCTGGGTGTACTCTTGCATACTTTTGTCTATGTAATTTGATTTATGCCGTTGGCAACCACATTCAAAACACTGCATGCTTATCGATTCTATATTCTTTGTGCGTATGTGTGTTGGGCAGAGTCAAGTTCGCTTTAAGTTATCTCTATGAATAACCATTAAAGATGATGAGCCAAGCACGCTTTTAGCAGCGCTTAATGTTTGCGTCAACGACGTGCCCGCTTTCGCCAGGCATTGAAGCAATAAATTAATTTGGGCCACGAAGCAACTGAAATCAGTGTCTAGACACAGGCTCTGGCAAGGCCATTTCGAGAGCCACCAAAATGCGCATGTTGAATTTAAAGAGACCGCAAGTGCGCTTCAGGCCACTTGCCGAGTTCAAGCCCTCGTCCACGTCGACGTCCACGTCCCCCGCCGAGAGGAATGAAAAGACCAGGACAAATGCTTAGAAGGCTTACCAGCTGTTTTGTATTTTTCTTTTTATTCTTCAGATTTTGATATTCATTTTTATGTGTTTGTTATTGTTTTTGACTGGGTGCTGGGAAATGCGCACACATCATTCAAATGCCACAATATTTGCACTAGAATGTGCGCAAATAAAAACACACAGCACAGCATCATTCAAACAAGCAACTCATAATTATGACAAAATTGAAAATAAACAACAGCTATTTGAAGTGTAGCTTGCTTGTCTTGGTCTTCATCAAATGAGCAAAATAAAAAAATATCGAAGAAAGATACGATAACATAAATGAGTTTTTGCGTTTAGCGGAAGCTTGAGTATCACAAGCTTAGATTTATTAGCAATCTTGGAAATTATTATTATTTTTATTAATCATATCTTTAATAATCTGTCTTCCAAGTCTGGTAGCTTACGACCCAAAATAATGGGAGATTTCAAGAATTTTGTTTGCGGAGTACTCATGTCCAAGAAATGTTTTCACTAATCTTAGAAAGAGATTTTAAGTAATTTAGCTCATAATTTTGGTAACGTCAGCTCTATAATTTATGTGTATGCCTATTACTAATATTCCGTGGAAGATATAAGTATTTCCCATTTTGAGGCTGGGATTACGCCGATTTTTAAATAATATTTGTAGTAATGTGACTTCCATGTAGTACCTATAGACTTACAATTGTTTCTATCAATAGCACGCTATTGGACCTAGCTCGCGATTGTTAATATCCTACCTTTGACGAGTGTTAATTAAAAACTCCACGTCTCGAGCTTTAAGGGAAGAAACCTTTCACAAAAACAACATATGTATTTTGCACGTTCGTTATCAGGGTATAAAAAGTACAAAGCTAAGCCAGCATAATCTACATGGGGAGGCCAACTCATTAATGAACGAGAATATGCTGATGACACCACATCAAACTAAATCCCTAGGGCATTACGGTATTGAAAGCTAAATGCAACGCAAATGTGTGAGTGACTTTTGCTGTTTTTGTAAAATAATTTAGCTTACATAAGCCGCTTAGGGCGCCATTCGTCGAGTACTTTAAAATGTTGCACAACACAATATTCAATTTTAATTAGGCGGAGTGTTCTAAACTACGCCACACGACAATGACAACTAAAATGAACATGAAATTGGTAGGCTTACAACTTTCCACTGATTACGAAGAAGAAAGCATCAACTTTTTGGGTGTGAATGAACGTGCCACAAAATGAAATGGGAAAAATTAGATCCACTTTAATAAGTCGTGTTTGAAAATTGTGGAAAACTATTCTGCAGAGTTCAACTATCTAATTAAATAACTTTAAAGAAAAATACAATATATTTGATTTAAGTAGTTAATTATTATTATTCTTCATTTATTTATTCTATTCATCCCTATCTCAAAAACAAATATTTATTAATTAAAATGAATTCTCTACTTAAAATCTATCTGAATGACAATAATTAAAAAGGATATAAAGGATATAAATAGGATATAAACACATGTTATTATTTATACTTAATTTGTAGGCAACAAGTCGCTTCTAAAGTTCAAGAAGGATATATATTAAATGCAAAGCAATGAGTAAACTGTTTTTAAATCGATCCAGAAAATCTTATATGTGATACAAATATTCTACAAATTATACTTCAAATAGTACATATACCCAGTATGACTCCTAATCGTTCTCTTATCATCTAAACGCAAGTAGTTTTAAGAGTAGTCCTCGTGAAAATTCACATACTCATTGCATCCTTTGACTCAGACAACTGGGCTATATGCAGTAATTATGGTCCATCTATATCGCTCTTACAATGCGGAGCTAGCTGGCTTGCACCGCATCCATTCTCAGTTAGGGACGGAGCACTCAAGCGTTTTATGGCCCTTGTGGTGCTCGCTTCAATGGCAAAACATGTGTAGCAATTGATTGCTAGCCCTGTTTTGTGGCCGATAGCTGCTTTGGACGTGGATTGGTTAGGTCTGTTTGACACAGGCACCGTGCCTGATTACCTGTCGGCTAATCAACGTGAGGCTGTCAGTTCAGCGTTCACGCAATCATGTGGCAGCTATGATGTGGATTTGGCAAAAGTCAGCCGCCGTTTAGTGATGATACAACAAGTGATTAGCTCTTTAATTGGCACAGAGTTGGGCACCAGAATTTCTGTTTGTATTCGGGACAAAGTGCCATTAATCGCAACTGTCGACTTAGTTATGCAAAAAGGCATCAGCTCACATATTTCAGCCAACTCATGTTGTTATCTGACGGGGATTACAACAATTAATTCATTAGAGCAAACCAGCCAGAGTGTGGCTGCAACAGACTATTCGGACAATTTTTGCCTTGACCCAGAAAAGTTTGCGGCTCGTGGCAAACAAATTCTTGGCTTAAACAAAAACTTGGCCTTCTGTCTGCGCATTTTCGTTAAGATTTAGGGTTTGGTAGACTGACCTACGAACGACGACAGGCATTTTATGTACTACATATTTGTGCTGAATTCCAGCTTAATAACGGGCTTTTTCTTTGAAAGCATTTCATTTAGGTTCGGTTTGGGAGTGTTCTGGATACTTGTAGTTAAATTAAATAATTAAATATAGCTTAATGACTAGACAACTGCTATGCTAATCGTTATTCGTGGCTATATTCTTGTAGAATGTATATAAACATCGTCATGAAATGTGTATCGCATTGAAGTAAACTTCTCCGACTCCGCAAGGTGTATAGTCGCAGGGCAGCTGCCCTTCAGTGAACCACCAAGTTCTTAATCCAAGTTCTTAATGGCAAAGTTTTACCATGTCTTAACTTATGATCTTCTTAGCTTTGCGTTAAGACTGTTGAAAAGTAGTTATTGTTGAGTAAATCTTACTTGTGCTCTAATCAGTGTATAACAACTTTTTTTGTTTCAATAAGAGGATTGTATTGTCGTCCTATTATTTGTCCGTAGCCTTTTAAGCAGTTATTTTTGTGGCACCGGAATTTTTTTCAATCGAGCTGCAAAACTGTCGATGAAAAGCTAAATTTTAAGAAGATATATATTTTAATAAATCATTTATTATCAGTGCTTGTCTACTACTAGTAGTCAACAATAAATAAATGAATAAAGTAATGAGTATAATTATAAATACACAAAATAACATAATAAAAAATTTAATTATACTATTTTTTTAATATTTTGTTACTTCACATTGCCGTCAGCTCGGCCGTCCTTCGATTGAGTACCGAAAATATTTATATTTGCTGGAAAACAAGCAACCTCTCATAGAGCCGCTCGTATATAAAGTTGATTGCGTTGCCTCTCGTTGTGGTTGAGGATGCTCCACATTGAACGTTGTTTTTGTCAATGCAGTTTCGTTGATGACAGCCAGACAATCAATTCATGCAGCAAATGATATGCTTTTGTGCTTACAGAAAAAACTGCATCCCAAAAGTGGGAATTTAAAAAAAATGTATTTACTCTTGCAGTGTATATTTCTAGATAACATTATGTGTAAGCGCTTTCTGTCGAATATTACTTTGAATTGTATTGAAGCCTAATTGTCTGGATGCAACTCAGTTGTTATTTTCAGTTAATAGATTACTTCATAAAACTGATATAGGAACTATTGATCAGAAGAAATATTCTTGTATTCGATAATTGTTTGTTATTTTAGATATCATTCAATTAACTTTCGATCTTCTTTAATTTATTTCTTTAAATATAATTTCCGAATTTAATAATTAAATTTAGATGTGTACAGCTTTGCCAGGGTATCTCATCTTCGACATAGCAAATACACCAATTCGAACTATAGTCAAACTATTACCGATTTAAAAGGTTAAATTGAAGCAGATAAAATGGATTCAAAACTAGCCATATGCTGTGCTTTCTATAAGCAACTTATTGCTGTCGAAAAATTTGCGTCGCATTGAATAACATTTTGTGTGTGAGGGCTGTCAATCTAAGCCAATTAGTTGGGTAACATAAGTATGGTTGTCGGTTACACGATAAATAATAATTTGCTCTCGTTTCTCTCTAATATAATTTTCAGAACTGAAATTATGTGACGGCTGCTCTGTGTGTGGTCGTCGACATTTTGGTATCCTGAAACCACCATCCACGCATCCATGATGGCAAACATATCAAAATATTTGAGTTTTAGCAGCAGGCATCAGCTAATGGGCGTTGCCCGGCATTGAAAATTAGCCAGGCGCACATTCAACGAAGTTGACAATTCCAGCAGGAGTAGGAGCAGGAGTCGTAGCTGGAACAGGATTAGTAGCGGCGGCATCAGTAGGAGAACAACAAAGCCGCACAACAAACATGAAAGGCTACTCGAAACCAAATGGTGCCGCTAACCGCAGCTGCCACAAGGACCATCATGTCCATGGCGGCTATAGCATCCTGTTATTTGTGCTGACATCGCTGACACTAACGAGCTTAATAACGCCCACAGAGCAGTTGACAGCGACATCATCCTCGACGTCGACGTTGCCCAATGACACGACAACAACAGCAACAATATCCACAACAACAGCAACATCATCACAGACTATGCCCACTGGCAGCAAGTCCAGCGATGTCAACTTTAATTCAGCATTGGCAAACACAGACTACGACAAACACATGAGCGCCGGTAGCAGCAGCAGCAGCAGCATACATTTACCATCCACCTTCAATGGCACTTTGGATTTTGGTGGTGCTGGTGGCGAACGGGTGCTCAATGGCAGCGAAGACTTCGTTGAGATGGAAGGCTGCAGCCGGGATGGCAACTTTGGGCTTAAGCTCATCTCGATGATACTCTATGCGCTCGTTTGCATTGTGGGTCTGTTCGGCAACACGCTGGTCATCTATGTGGTACTTCGCTTCTCCAAGATGCAAACGGTGACCAACATCTATATACTCAATCTGGCCATTGCAGACGAGTGTTTTCTGATTGGCATACCGTTTCTGCTGTACACGATGCAGGTGGGCAACTGGCCCTTTGGCAATTACATGTGCAAGGCCTATTTGGTGAGCACATCGGTCACCCAGTTCACGTCGTCAATATTTCTGCTAATCATGTCGGCGGATCGTTATATAGCCGTCTGCCATCCGATATCGTCGCCACGCTATCGCACTCCGTTCGTATCCAAGCTGGTCTCCGCCGTGGCGTGGACTACATCGGTGCTGCTGATGCTGCCGGTGATTCTGTTTGCCAGCACTGTGGAATCGGCGCCGGGGCATATCTCGTGCAGCATTGAATGGCCGGAGGCACAGTCGGACTCGGTGTTCATATTGTATTCGCTGGTGTTGGGCTTTGCGACGCCGCTGATCTTCATCATGATCTTCTACTGCCTGGTGATACGCAAACTGCACACTGTCGGACCCAAGCACAAGAGCAAGGAGAAGAAGCGATCGCATCGCAAGGTGACCAAACTGGTGCTTACCGTGATCACCGTGTACATAATGTGCTGGCTGCCCCATTGGATATCGCAGGTGGCACTGATTAACTCAACGCCCGGCTGCAATTCCCGGCTACAGCTGGCCGTGTTTCTAGCCTGTGGCTGCCTCTCGTACTCCAATTCGGCAATGAACCCCATACTGTATGCCTTTCTCAGCGACAACTTCAAGAAGAGCTTCATGAAGGCCTGCACCTGTGCGGCACGCAACGATATCAATGCCCAGTTGCAGCTGGAGAACAGTTTCTTCCCCAAGTTTGGCAAGGGGCGGCAATCGGAGCGTTTGATCGGTGTCAATGCCAACGCCGCAAACAGCAAGCACAACAAGAAGAAGGCTCTGGTCACCGCTCGGAACAATAATGCACCCATTACAACAACCGCGACGACAACAACGACGGCAGGCACGGATGTTGTCACCTCCACACAGCCAATCGCACCACCTCCGATCCCTCAGACAGTGACACCAGCAAATGTTGCCCTGCTCGTTGTCAGTGCGGAGACCAACAACTTTAAGCCGCCCGTTCTCCACACGGATTTATAAGAGCGGGCTCCGGGAATGCCGGTCGAGACGGTTGTGTTCATTGCGCACAGATGAAAGTGTCCAGGTGAGGTGCAGCTGAAGACGGACCTGATTAGGGCACCGGAATGCTTACTTTAGTGTAAGCATTGATATTTCATTATGTAAGTCGTTCTGTTGTTGTCGCTTAACCCCGTCTCCATTTGATATACTCCGATAGGATTAGGTTCAGAAAGTTAGCGAGGCAAGTTGGAAAAGATTTAATCTTTAAGTAATACATATGTCAGATCGGAGTAGGTCTTTGGCCAAATATTATAACCAGTGAAAGACTTTGATGATAGTATGCAAGTTGTGAATATACGAGAAAGAAACCAGAAATCACACAAACTTGATGTCTAGATGTGAAATGAAATCCACGGGGAATTATTCAAGAAACAATTCCACTGGAAATAAAACAAAACAAAACAAAACAAAACAAATATCTTCACATTTTCGAATTAAATTCCAATGTGATTATGAAATTGAAAAGGAAGACGATTCACAGATGTTCATTAAGAAGAAGTGAACAACGATTAACATTAAATACCAGTGTATTTTTAAGCTTATATTTATCCAAAAAATGGTTTACACATAGTGCGTAGTTATTCAATTATGAATGAATATTAAGAGAATAATAATGAACAAATCTTTGATTACAAATTAACATTAATCAATGTAAACATTTCTAGTGTTGGAATACATTTTCAAGGAAATATTGCATTTTTTTATAATAGACCATTGTATTAAAGCTGTTGACGTCTCTCTATCTGCATAAGTGAATGAGCTACTAAATAAATAAATACCAAGTTGGGCATGTAAGCAACGAAATGGAAATTGAAAATAATAAAATAAAATAATCTTTTTAATGTTGCCATTTAAATATTTACATGTACTATTTGTATTTTTGAATGTAAAATAAGATAATTAATATTCTCATAGATGTAATCATTTCAAAAGTCTTATCAATAGTCAGAGAAAAAAACTACAGGAATATTGCATGAACAAATAATATTTGCATATTTAAATGTAATTTGAACTGCAGCACAGATATTTGCTTCAAAATGTGAAAATAAATGGAATTTGAGTTCGTATACAAATAAAATCCAAACACACACGTCGAAATTAATGGGAAGCAAACAACACTTGTTAATAGCGCTTGAACATATTTTAAAAATCATATTTTACGACTTGCATATTTATGGCCAGGACAACTCTTACGACATGTGTATATATATAAATTTATGGCATGTCATTTACTGTATCCAAGCGACATCATATTCTGCACACAATTTGCTCAATAATTTATTGCAATTGTTGCTTAATCCGTCTACAATTCACACTTCTGTTCGTCACCTTCGCAGCTATCTGATGCTTATCTTTTACGAGGCTAATTTAAATTCCCTTTTCATCTACTTGACTGAGAGAGAGAGAGAAATAGAGCTAGAGCTGTAGAGATAGTTTGCAGATACAGATACAGATACAGATGAAGAGACAGAGACAATTTGCATTTGATAGTGTGACAATAAACATAAAAACACAACCAAAGTGTGCGACACAAACAGAACAATAAATTGCCACAAAGAGCAAAAGAGGGCAGAAAATTGTCAACAAACGGAACGGAACAATTGTCATGCTTCATGTTATGTCCATTCGAGAATGCACAAGTTGCTAACAACCACGCTGGGCGCTTGGCTGCCCAAAGACAATTCCAAACACTTCCACATGAAGAACAATTTAATGCCAAACTTCGCTGACAAAATGTGGTTGACCACCAGATACCCTATGCTCAAAATTAAAGCTATTGATACCTTAGAGTAGCGTCATGATTTATTCTCTAATCGAAGGATAATTTACCAATGTTAAGAGATGCTGTCCATGAATTAAAATTCTTCTTTAAAAGGAAACTCGAAAGTTGCAGGAAGATAAAGATTAGTTGTTTACGGTTTGGTGATCTCTTTTCGTAATTTAAATATTTGAAACTTATCAGATACATTTTTTCAGGTAGTTCTTCAGTTGGCTGTGGAGATTAAAATATGTAGATTATTATACAGTATCGAAGATATCACTTTCTGACTATTTACCTATTATACCCTCTTTTATAACATGTATGTAATTCGGAATGTTTTCACATGTGAAAAACAGCAAAGAAGTGCAACAAAACAAAACGCAAAAAGAAAAAATTGCAGAACAAATAATGGAAACAAAACATTGTTAGAAAATTACTGCTGGTTGCTCAATGGACAATTGAGCATGCAACATGAGAACTTGTCAGAAAGTTTTTCAATTGAATTGGGATAAATGAGTGAAAACGATCCGAGGCAGCAGTGTAATAGAATTGATTGCATTTTGAAAGTAAATCACAGATGCATGTTACCAAAGGGTTAATATGCTTTCATGTGTATTTTCAATTTCTAATATCACTAATCATATACAGTGCTTGATAGCAGTATTGAGCCACTTGTTTTCGTCCATCCAGTGTAATAGACTTCAAACTGTGGCCAATGAAATGGAATGGAATGGAATTGGTGGGTAACATGAACGTTTGTAAAACGTACATCTTTGCGCTTGGCAAAGTGTGGAAAGCAAAGCAAATCAACAATTGGACTCACTCACGGACTGTTTACTGTTTACTGTTTGCACAGAGGCAACAAGCTTCTGCTTTTGCTATGCCCAATCAATATGAAGATTGGGCAAACTATTTTTCATTTTTCCATCAATCATCAGCTACCGCTTGTTAGGAAACAGGAGGCAACCAGCGTTGCTGTTGTTCTGCAGATGATGGACCCAACTGAAGGTCCGGCACTCGCATATTGATTATTTCGAATTTCATTAGCAGCACAGCCAGAGAGAAGGCCAGAGCCAGACCCAAAGTCAAAGCGAAAAGCAAAAAGCAGAGTTAGGAATTAAAATGCTTCCTGATGCACTCGTCCATATGCTGCATCCCGGACAGACAATGCAAAGGGATCAGCAGCTGCTGACAAGGATGCGTTGGGGCGAGAAACAGAGCAGCTTTTGATTTTAATGGGCTCGTCTTCGTTGGGGTCGGGCAGGTTGCATTGCAAATGCATATGCAAATAGAGCTGCCGGGGCCAAGTTGAAGTTGAAGGTCAAGTGCTGGCAGTGAGAATCCACTTAAAAGTCACTTCGTGTGCCTAAGAAGCGAGACTGCTGAAACCGGATACAAGCGCCAATTTATTGCCATATTGATGCAGCAAACTCAGCTGTCAGTTAAATTATGAAATCAGCTCGTGGCGCTTCTGAAAGTGTGCGACGCCGTCCGCCTTGATGCTTAACCTCAAACTTGCACTTTATTATCGCCATAAATTCAATTTCATTCAAGCAGCCTTTGGCTTCACCTTCATACTCGTCTGGCTTTACTATATCTCCCTTCCTTGAGAATTTCAAAGTCAAATGTGGGCATATGTGGGCCGCAGATAGACAACGACTTCAAAGCGGGCCAGTAAATTGTGCATACTTTGACCCAAATTATGCACATATGTACAATGTATATACATATGTATATCTATATATAAATATATATATATATTTATATATCAATCCAATTATTGCTTCGCACTTCATAAATCGGGCATTGAAAATGAACAGCAATGAAAGGCCTGGCCCGCACAATTTCATTTAATTTCATTTAAATTTTTTTCCATTTTCTATTGGCCAACTAAAAATACAACAAAGTCGCTTTATAAATACATTATCACCTCAATATGCTCGCAAATGCCTCGCGAAATACATACTAAAATTTACAAACAAATATTTGTATATAACTGTGTGTGTGTGTGTGTGTGTGTAATTCTGTGTGTAGAAGAGCAGAAAATGTTAATAAAATTTTATAAAAGAGCAAATTAGGCAAATTGGCTTTTGGCTAGCGGGTAATGGGAAATGGTTAATGGCACATCGCACGATCAGGTGGAAATTCTCGCGAACTTATTTCATAATTGAGCAATTCAAATAAACATTGAAATTTAATTTAAATATACAATTTCCAACTGGTCTCCGCGGTTCTTTAAGTGTGGCAATTCAATTTTAAGCTTTAAACAAATTTAAATGATTTCGTGTCTTTTCTAAAACGAAAAGTGGAACTCAATCCGCAAATTGGCAAATTGGAAATTTAAATTATTATTCAATACATTTTTAATATTTGCTTTAATATTAACAATTTTTTTTTTGTATACTCTGAATCAATTAAAACAGGGTTAAATTGGCCTAATGATTTTCTACAAAAATATGGAGACATCCCGAATTCCCAGAGCAATAAAATCCTTCATTTTAAAGTCAAGATCTTCTTATACTTCAACTGGACAAAGATCGAAGAAGAAATATCCAACTTACATTCAGAAAAGTATTCTTATCTTAATCTAATTAAATTATTACTAAGCAAAAACAAGCATTGCTATATTTTTTAACCCTTGGCTGGCCAGAGGAAATGAGAGCATCTGTTTACACTTGGATATGTAAAGTGTTTTAAAGTGAAATTTTAAAATTTCTTTCAATTGGAAATTTGGTTGCTCACGAACTATTGTCAACTGTTCTACAAGCATTTTCTATCCCGTTTTCATCAACTAAATAAATTCATACATAAATATTATGAGTGAGGTGAGCCTCCAAATTAAGAGCAGCTGTCTTTGATTTTGTACTTTGAATGAACCAGCTCGGTTAGAATGCAGTCGTGTGATAAGGTAACGTTGATAAGTGGATAAGCTTTGGGGCAACCCGAGACGACGAATATCTTTACTATATTCAACAAAGTCAACTCTCAGCTACTGTTTAGTTCCATTTTTATATTCAATCGCCCTGCAGGTCTTTACTATTCTTAGAGAAAATGCGGATAAAACTAACGTATTTCGTATATATTATACTTTTGGCATACTTCCACGTTACTGCTGATGAAGATAAGGCGGTGAGCAAAAGTGTGAATTGTTGTTTGCATTTGCAACAACTTTTTAATTCTCATGCTTACAGTTGGGCAGTGCTATACAAAGTAAAGACATACACATAGTCGATCTACAAGGCAACTTAGGGGAGCTGCAAATAAATGCGACATACAAAGATATAAAACTGCTAAATGTCGTTGCCAACTCAAATGAGAGTCTCATTTCGCATTTGATCGGAAAAAACATGATGCAAACACAGGGTGCTCCAAGAGAAGACCTCACAGCTGTCGTAGCAGAACTAAAATCACAAATATTCCAATTGAATGACACAGTACTCCACTTGGAGAACCTGCTCTGGAAGCGTGACGAGGAGGAGGAGAAGAAGAAAGAGAAGGCAACAAGTAGTTGTTGTTCTGTACTCGATCCCGTTGGCAGTGTTCAACTGATAAGTGTGCCCGGAATCGAGCCACGTTGGGTTCTTTGCGATGCCTGTGGAGCGGGTACAGGTTGGATTGTTATCCAGCATCGGTTTGATGGGAGTCTCAATTTCTATCGGGACTGGAACGCATATCGCAATGGATTTGGATTTTATAATGGCGAGTTCTTTATAGGCCTCGAGCTCCTTCATCGCCTAACAAAGTCTCGGCCATTTGAGCTGTATGTGGAGTTGGTCGACTTTAACAACCATATGTTTCATGCGCAATATGATAGCTTCCTAGTTGGCAGTGAGGAGGAGATATATATGCTTAAATCATTGGGAACCTACACTGGCAATGCTGGCGATTCATTGAAATACAATCTTTACGACAAATTCTCAACTTACGATAATGACAATGATGGATGGTCGAGAGGCAACTGTGCCAACTATTATGCGAGTGGCTGGTGGTTCAACTGGGATGCAAATAGGTGGGTCAAGTACACGCACATTTCAATTGCCAGCAACACATTATTTATTTGTATTATCTACACAGTAATCTCAATGGAAGATACTTTAAGTCTGGCGAGCAAAATGTTAAGGGCATTTGGTTGTATACACTCAAGAGATATTACTCACTTAAATCTGTGAAAATGCTAATCAGGCCAAAGTACACTTTATTTTGAACAAAGAGATACGAGTATACTTGCTTACTAAATACACAGAACATAATAAAATAATATATTTAATAATAAAGATTGTTGAAAAAAAAAAAAAAAAAAAGCCCCTGGAAAATGGTTTAAATGGGTATAATGAAGTTGTGCAAAAGAAAGTTACGGGTATATATAGTATATATACTTTAGTTCATTACAAACTTCACGTTAAAGAATTTAATACCCTAGAAAAATGATCATACATGGAGTATACGGGTAGGTTTCAGAATACCCAAAAAGTGTTCGACTCGGGTAAAGTCCTGGGATCAGGGTATCTCCTAGTCGAGCTGTCTCGATATTGATATTTGCGTTTCAATTCGCATCTCTGGCTTGTGCGCTACACGATTGCTATCTGCTCAACATATAACTGAACTCGAACTTATCAGCAGCACATCTATTCATTATATATAAGACAAGTGCACAATTCGATTCTCAAATCCAGTTTATTTTCCGACACGCAGCAAGGAACAAGTCTCAAACACAATGGAAATACAGGGCGGGTGCAAATCTTTTCTTTCCTTATGTTTCCTATTTTTGGCAACAGTCGCAGTGAGTGATGTGATTTCTGTGAGTAGATTCAAATAAAAATATGGATATAAATCTGTTTTTTATAAATTGATTTGTTTCTGCATTTTGAAAAAGACGGACGAGAAGAGTCTCCGCGCTCAAATAGATGAAAAAACTGAGGCTCTAAGAGTGCTGATAATCCAAATGACCAATTTAGAAAGTACAAGTCACCTTCAAGATCAGCAAACTGGAAGGTTAACGCAAGAGGAATCCGCGCATAGCGTGCCTTTTAAGAGCATTTGTAAATCTTCCACAAGTATCGAATCAATTAATGTTGTCGACATCGGTCCGGTTTCGGTGGTCTGCGATTCTGAAACTGCCGGACCCGGCTGGACAGTGGTGCAGCGTCGCTTCAATGGCACCGTTGATTTTTTCAGAAAATGGTCTGAGTATCGCAGTGGCTTTGGGGACTTGGAAGGGGAGTTCTTCATGGGCCTGGAGAAACTACACCGCATGACGAATTCTGTGCACTGTGAGCTGTATATCAAATTGGTCGATTTCCACAATGTTGTTCGCTACGCACACTACGATAATTTCAGTATAGGCAGCGAGGAGGAGCACTATATGCTCAAGTCACTGGGAACCTATTCCGGTGATGCTGGCGATGCCTTGAGTTACAATCTGTATGACAGCTTCACAACCTATGACCGGGATAACGATGCTTGGAGCAGTGGCAATTGTGCCAATCATTACCACAGCGGCTGGTGGTACAATTCGTTTGGAAATAGGTATGTAAATCATTAATTATTGATAAGTTCGACAAATAATATTGCATTTTATGCACTTTCAGCAATCTCAATGGTAAATACCTTGATCGTGAAAAACATGATGAGAAAAGCATTTGGTGGTATAGTTGGAAGGGATACAAGTCACTGAAATCTGTTCAGATTATGATACGACCTATTTAACTTAAATACAGTGTACAAAAAGAGATTAAAATTCAATAAAATACATATATACTGTATATATTATCATTGTAATGTTTTGTAATCTTATGCACTCATTCGTTCAGAAACCTAATCTTGAATATTTTATAGGTCAATGGGAGCTTGAAGCCATTGGTTAATATAATAAAATAATATATTTAATAATAAAGATTGTTGAAAAAAAAAACAAAAAAGCCCCTGGAAAATGGTTTAAATGGGTATAAAGAAGTTGTGCAAAAGAAAGTTACGGGTATATATATTATATATACTTTAGTTCATTACAAACTTCACGTTAAAGAATTTAATACCCTCGAAAAATGTTCATACATGGAGTATACGGGTAGGTTTCAGAATACCCAAAAAGTGTTCGACTCGGGTAAAGTCCTGGGATCAGGGTATCTCCTAGTCGAGCTGTCTCGATATTGATATTTGCGTTTCAATTCGCATCTCTGGCTTGTGCGCTACACATTGCTATCTGCTCAACATATAACTGAACTCGAGCTTATCAGCAGCACACCTATTCATTATTAATATGGCACAATTTGATTCTCAAATTCAGTTTATTTTCCGACACGCAGCAAGGAACAAGTCTCAAACACAATGGAAATACAGGGCGGGTGCAAATCTTTTCTTTCCTTATGTTTCCTAGTTTTGGCAACAGTCGCAGTGAGTGATGTGATTTCTGTGAGTAGATTCAAATAAAAATATGGATATAAATCTGTTTTTTATAAATTGATTTGTTTCTTCATTTTGAAAAAGACGGACGCGGACAATCAATGCGAATCATGTTGCTTCAGGGCTCTCAAACCATTTATAGCGGAATCAGAGCAGAAAATGGAGAAGATTCAACGCTGTGACGCTGTGCTCGCTGCGAAAGAAGAGCAAATTCAGAAACTACAAGAGAAATTGAATGCCATGCAACTAAAGGTATCTATTCACAATAATCTCGAGAATATGCACAATGAAAAAATCAAGTATAAAGCTGAACTATATGCGGCCTCGAGCGAGAAGAGTTGCAGCGAGAATAACAAGCGTCTGATCGAGTCTCTGAGCGCCCAAATACATGAAAACACTGAGACTCTAAGAGTGCTGATAACCCAAATGACCAATTCAAATAGTACACGTCACCTTCAAAATCGGGAAACTGAAAGATTAATGCAAGAGGAATCCATGCATTGCGTGCCTTTTAAGAGCTTTTGTAACACTTCCACAAGTATCCAATCAATTGATGTTGTCGGCATCGGTCCGGTTTCGGTGCTCTGCGATTTTGAGACTGCCGGACCCGGCTGGACAGTGGTGCAGCGTCGCTTCAATGGCACCGTTGATTTTTTCAGAGACTGGTCTGAGTATCGCAGTGGCTTTGGGGACTTGGAAGGGGAGTTCTTCATGGGCCTGGAGAAACTACACCGCATGACGAATTCTGTGCAGTGTGAGCTGTATATCAAATTGGTCGATTTCCACAATGTTGTTCGCTACGCACACTACGATAATTTCCGTATAGGCAGCGAGGAGGAGCACTATATGCTCAAGTCACTGGGAACATATTCGGGAAGTGCCGGCGATGCCTTGAGTTACAACCTGAATGACAGCTTCACAACCTATGACCGGGATAACGATGCTTGGAGCAATGGCAATTGTGCCAATTATTACCACAGCGGCTGGTGGTACAATTTCTATGGAAATAGGTATGTAAATCATTAATTATTGATAAGTTCGACAAATAATATTGCATTTTATGCACTTCCAGCAATCTCAACGGTAAATATCTTGATCGTGAAAAACATGATGAGAAAAGCATTTGGTGGTATAATTGGAAGGGATACAAGTCACTGAAATCTGTTCAGATTATGATACGACCTATTTAACTTAAATACAGTGTACAGAAAGAGATTAAAATTCAATAAAATACATATGTACTGTATATATTATCATTGTAATGTTTTGTAATCTTATGCACTCATTCGTTTAGAAACGTAATCTTGAATATTTTGTAGGTCATTGGGTGCTTGAAGCCATTGGTTAATATTATTATTATTACTAGGGGGAAAAACTGCACCGCGACCTATTTGATCTATTGTGCCCCCTTCTGAGCTTATAGCTCTTCCATCAGCCCCAACTCCCGCACGAATGCGAGGATCTTTGCACTTCAAAACATGCGCCCCTACGAGGCTGCTTCTTTTTCTAGCTATGGCGACACACTCTGCCAGGATGTGTATCGAGGATTCGTACTCTCTTTCACAAAACCTGCACAGGTCGCTACTATATATACCCAGTTTTGCCAGGTGACTCCTTAGTCTACAGTGTCCTGTCAATAGACCGGTGAGTATCCTAAGGCTGTTCTTTCCCATGGTTATAATTTGTTTAAATCGTACAAGATTATAACCACCTAGGAGACATCTGGCTTGTCGGAGTCCCACTGCCTCCGACCAGCTCTGATGCCGTCTCTGCCTCTCCTCGTTTCTAAGTTCCAGTCGTATAGTGTGTCTCCCTATGCCACAATACGGTTCTGGTCCTGTTAGGGGCCTTCCCCGGGACCCATCGTAGGGTGAGCCTGTTGTGAGTCCCGAGCAGGTCTAGCTTTGAACGAACTTCATGGACTACCTTCGATGTTATCTTAGTCCCCATTATAGCTTTCAATGCTGCTTGACTATCGGATAGGAAGGATATATCCGTATTCCGATAGTTACGTTCTATATTGAAGTCCGCACATCTCCCTATCGCACACACCTCAGCCTGAAATATGCTGGTGTGCGTTCCCAGGGATTCATGGTAGAATACCCGAGGACCCACCACTCCAAGGCCTGTGCCCTGATTCGTGAGTGATCCGTCGGTGTACCATTTTATGGTGTGCGGTTTCATGGGATGGACCTCATCCAGAGTTGTCCATTCCCTTTTATTGCTCATACAAACTGTGAAATTTCGCTCGAATATGTATTCGGCTACCATTTCGTCCCTAGGTTGCATCAGCAGGGGCAGTTCGTTTGAAAGGAGTTGGGCATCTTTGTGGCTTAGGATATGATTGCCCCCAACTCCTTCTGCCGATATCCTTAGAAGCGTGGCTTTCTGCTTGAGCCTTATGATATGGTGGAGTGGTGTGAGCTCCATTAAGGCTTCAAGGGCCATTGTAGGGCAGGTGCGCATAGCTCCTGTCATACATACGCAGGCCATCCTTTGCAACTTTTGTAGTTGCTTCTTCACGGTGACCAACCGCGCCCTGTCACCCCATGCTACCACCCCATAGGTTAACATGGGCCTTACTACCATCAGGTATAGCCATCTTAATATCTTTGGTGATGTACCCCATGATTTGCCGGCAATACTACGACATGTATAAAGCGCCCTAGAGCACTTTAATATCGTGTTTTGCACATGGGTGCCAAAGTTAAGCCTGCTGTCAAATGTGACTCCCAGGTATTTGACCTCCCTACTCGTTTCTAGTAGGGTCCCTGAGAGCCATATTTGTCTCATCCTCTGTAACTTATGTCGTCTGGTAAAGGGGACGATGACTGTTTTCGTAGGGTTTAGGTTGAGTCCAACCTCCATACACCAGTCATACGTTATCCTTAGCCCTGACTGGACTATGTCACAGAGTGATTCTTCAAATTTGCCTCGCGCTATGATAACAATGTCATCGGCATATCCTTGACATTGAATACCACTGTTAGCAAGTCTGTTTAGTAGTTCGTCTACTAACAGACTCCAGAGTAGCGGAGACAACACCCCTCCTTGGGGACAGCCTTTGGTGGTTAGGACTGTTACATTGCTATCATATAATTATGCTGTGGCTTGCCTGGACTGTAGCAGTGCGAGTATCCATCTGCTGGTTGTATGGTCCAGGCCTCTTCTCTCGAGGGTAGCATTGATTGCATCGTGCGATGTGTTCTATATCTAAGAAGGCGCACAGTGCTACCTCCTTATTATCAATTGCCGCACTCAAAGTACGTCGCAGTTGATAAAGTGCTGTGTCCGTGGACCTGCCTACTCTGTATGCATGCTGCGTTGGGTGCAGCGGCCTTTGCTTAAGCAAAGTACTTCTGATTTTGTAGTCCACCAGCTTTTCCAACGTTTTCAGTAAAAACGATGTTAAGCTGATGGGTCTGTAGGACTTCGGGCTGGTAATGTCTTTCTTCCCTGCCTTGGGGATGAAGACTACCCTAGCTCTCCTCCACGCGCCCGGTATGTATCCGAGGGCTAGGCTACTTACTAATGCCTTCCTAATACGGGAGAGGAGTATTTCCTGTCCCGTTTGAAGGAAGGCTGGCGATATGCCGTCCGTTCCAGGGGAACTTATAGGGCTGGAATGTACCAATTGCCCAATTAAGTCTTTCCCTTGTGACTGTCGACTTGGCGCATGCCCAGTCGTCAGTTGACTGCCTGTGTCTGTCATCCCTTTCGATAGCCTCTTCCTGCAGGGGTGTACTTCCTGGGAAGTGCGTCTCGAAAAGTAGTACTAATTTCTGCAAATTACTGCTCGTAAGGGAGTTATCCCCACGCTTCAGTGCTAAGTTCGCATCAGGCGTTCGTTTCGCCAGTGCTCTATGAAGCCTGGCGCCTTCGCTTGTGCTAAATATGCTTTCGCAGAAGTTTCTGTAGTTCTTCCGTTTGGCCTTTCTTATCTCCTTATTGTAGGAGGTCAGGCTTTCACGGTACTTTTCCCATATTCCGTCTCTCTTTGCTTTCTAGGCTATCGTTCCATCATGGACCATCTTTTTCCATATGCTTCTTCCCTACCGGGCAGTTATCCTCAAATGCATTAATTATGCATTTGTTGAGGTCACCAATAGCCCTGTCCAGCTCTAGCGGCTTTGGGGTATACCAGATAACCCGTTGGCTAGGGAGAGCCCTAAGGTCGACTTATAGCCTTCCCAGTTGGTTTTCCTGGGGTTGCGACCTGGTGTGCTACCTGTGATCGGACATGGATTCCTCTTGGGAAACATGCCAGTCCCTAAGGTGAGGCTTTAGGGACCGACTGATCAGGGTGATGTCCAGCACTTCTTCCCTGATCCTAGTGACAAATGTCGGTGCAGATCCGACATTACCTAGTTCTAGATTATGTTTAAAAATAAAATCAGTTAGGCACTCACCCCTTAGATTGATGTCACTGCTGCCCCATATAGTATGGTGCGCATTGGCATCACATCCGATGAGCACCGGCATCTTCTCTCTCCTGCAGTACTCCACCAGCTTCTCAACCTTTGGTGGTGGGCAGGGTGCATCCCCTGCGAAATATGCAGACACGATGACCATAGAGACCGCGCTGCCCTTGGTGTACACCAGTATGGGAACGCAGTCTCTAGTCAGGAATTCTGAAAGGATAGTAAAGTTAATACTTTTCCTTACCATGATACAAGCTCTGTGTGCTGGATCTCTCCGATCCCAGATTACCTTTGAGTCGACTGTGAACAGGCCCTTGATGCCATCGTTCACCCACGGCTCCTGTACCAGGGCCAGCCCAAGGTGTTTGTTGGTAAACATCCTTGCTAAGACCGCCGAGGCTGCCTTAGCTCGGTGGATGTTTACCTGAGCTAGCCCTGTGTTGATGTTTTTTGACACCTACTTCTGGGTTCCAGCTGACACGGTGAATGGGGCCTGGAGCTGTCCCCGTCACCGCTGCTCGTCATAGTGACGTCAGCTGCAGCTGCATCCTGCAGCTCCTCCTCCAGCTCCTGCGAGGACATGGGGATATCGTCGTCCCGCAGCATCTCCTCCTGGCAGAGCGTCACATCTGCCAGTTCTTCGTCATCTGCGAGGTCCTCCGACGGGTCGGTGGGCTGCGCAGTCGGACTGCCCTGCTCCGGGGCAGGAGTGTCCGATGTGGTGGTGTTGCCCACTGAGACATCCTCCTTGCCCGTTGGAGCAGGTTGGGGCTTTTCTCCAGTCTTCTTCTTCTTCAGTCCGCTTACGGGGATGGTCCCGTAACGGAAGAAGACCTGGTGCCCCTTCTCCACAATTATATTCTTGGATAGTTCATCTATCCCGATCAGCAGGAGGGCTCCTCCACCCTCGTTCCTACTGGAGATCAGTCAGATCAGGTCTCGATCCTGTTCTGGTTCCTCATCAGAACCAACAGGGATTCGGTAGACCGATCTGCACTCCTGGGGCAGAACAGCGTGATGTAGTGGGGCGACGGTATGTCGTCCCCCAACACTCAAGGGGCATTCAGAGCGCCTTGCCTCGCGGTGTTCGGTGTTGGGTGCGGTGGTCTGGGTGTACCAGCCATCGGTCTCCCATGCCTCACAGCCGGAGTTCCTCGTGCCTGCGGCACTCTCCGATTTGTTGCTGGAGCAGCACGGTGTGGAGGATTGTCTACCACACGCAACGGTCGTTCTCCGTCAGGGGTATGACCCTCTAATTGTCTTGCGACAAGTTCCGCAGGGAGACCCTGCGGTATCTTTATATTTTGTGACTTATTCATGGAATCCCACGAGCTGCGGAGAAGTATGTGTCCGCCCGGGCAGAGATCCGCAATACCCGGGTAAGGCTGAATTAGAACAGGCGGTCGCCATTTGCCTGAGCTCACCGTTAAAGACTGTGCTAGTTTTTGATCCGGGCCCCCAGCCAGGCTGACTCTCGGCACGGTTCGAATAACGCCTTAGTCCGGCCCGGAGTGAGATGAGGGGATAGGATGTGGTAGGTAGTTTTGTGGGGAGATAGGGGGATGTGTGAGGCTATACTTTAGAAGGCGGCGACACAAGCGCCTTGTCGGTGCGATCGACATAATCGCACCCGCTGTTTGTCCGGGACGGCTTATTTACGAAAAATCTCGTATTATTCGCAGCTAACCTCGCCGAGGGGAGGCCGTTCGCTATCCGCAACCCGCGACCCGCCTGGTGGCCTCAGCTCAGCCCCATCCGAACCATCCCACAAGTTCTCAGACCAGTATTGGTTAATATAATAAAATAATATATTTAATAATAAAAATT